TCATTTAACATACATTGGAGAAAGAGAAATGTTTGGAATTTTTTTTCTTTAAATTTCATAACTCTCAATTTATTCTTGACCTTGATATATGTGTGAGGTCCATTTATGTATATATGAACCCCACACTATGAATGGTTGGAATGAGAATAAATTGTAAGGAGTATATATGTATAGAAGTCTCTACCGCAATTGTTGGAGAAATGATATATGCAAATAATAAACTCCCATCGTCATGCACCAGTTGCATATAAACGGGTCCATTGCTGCACAAGTCCAATTAAAAAATAATAATAATAATAATAATAATAAAATAATATACCTGCCATATCTTGTAAAGAGGAACATCACAAAATCAGAATTATACAAGTGAGATGGGTAAATTTCTACCAACCTTTTTATGAGAGGAAAAGAAAGCTTTACTCCATATGATGCCACTATATTAAAAAGATGACCAGCATCTCTATTAAAATCAACAACTCAAGTACAAGAGTGGAGGGCATTATTACCTGTTTCAACAGCTCCAGCTTCATTGGACTTCCAATGTTTTGCAATATTCTCAGAAAGAGGATCGTCTGGATTTGGAGCACTCAGGAGAGCTTGGATGCTGATTCATGAAATAATAAAAGCAATAATTGAGTATGTAGGATAAAAGTCATTTAAATTACGACAAATTTCTCACATAAAATTACATAATTATTTAATGCTAATTGAATTTATAAATATTTATACACAAGTATCAACATACACCATGAAGAAAGACGGAATCTTATTCATTTATTGACCTATCTATTACATTATATAAATTCACAGATCTGTAACTAGCCATCTAACAAACTAACTAATCTTTCAAACAAACTAACTGCATATAATACAAGTGAACTGCTTAGATGTTACACAGCCCATGGCTTGTGACACACCTTCATATAAGTCTGTCCTTGGTCAGCTTTCATGGACTGCTGCTCTTGCACTTCTTTTGCACTGTGTGCTCTGTTGCAGTCTATTTGATCTGTTGCAGTACCTGCAGCCTTGAACTGCTTGGACTGCTGTGTTAAGTCTTCGTCAATTATAACCTCACAATCACTACAATCATCACTAATATTGCTGCAACCATCATTACTATCACCGTCACTGTCACCACAACCACCACCGCTATGAAGCCACAATTGCTATTACCACCACATTCATTATCATTGTCATCGTTATCATAAAACATACCATCATTTCAATTAGTGAAATTTCATTCTCTTGAAATAGTGAAATTCAACCTTAATATTTAGGTGAAATTATTAAAAAAGTGAAATTTCTACTAAAGAAGTAAAAATTATAAAAAGTGAATTAGAGATGCAAAGTCATCTTTAAAATATTTTCTAATATAACTTTAAAGGTCCGTCTGATTTGAAAAAAAAATAATGGGGCATTTATTAAATCTTATGTCCATAACTTATAGACCATTTAGCTCCATAAATATATATGTTATTTTTTATGACAAGTGTCCAAATTAGCTTATGCGCACCTCAACTAATCCCGAGACTCACGCAACGCGCCCCCTTCACATGGATCGTAGTCTCATAAATAATCTTATGAACCCACATAAGTCATTTCTCACATCAAAATCTTCGAAATTAAGCATACTCACATTTGAAAAGGTAATGAGGCAATAATGAACACATTAGAATGATATCCTATTGTCACACTTTAAGAATGACACATTTAACAAAAGTTTAATAAGATAATAGTACACAAATGTCACATTGTCACACTTTAAGAAGAATGACACATTCAACAAAAGTTTAATAAGACATTAGTATACACATTAGACTGATGTTTTATATTGTCACACTTTAAGAATTATACATTTGACAAAAATTTAATAAGACAATAATGCACAAATATCTCATGTCACATTTAACAAAAGTTTAATAAAACAATAGATCACATTGTCACATTTTAAAAATGACACATTTAGCAAAAGTTCAAAAACAATAGTGCACAAATAAAATATATATCCACATTTGTCGTCTCTAAGAAATAAATAAAAGGACCTCATGATATACATTTCCAAATTCAATGAGACTTAATAATTTGCAAGAAAATTTATAGAATAGTCCGGTATACACTTTTCTAGGATGGGAATTCTAAATAAATTTTCCAAAATGAATAAATCATGAAAAGTGAAAATAGTAAAAGGTGAAGTGACTAAGAAGGAGTCCGTTTGGTTTAGTTTTTGAAATGAGTTTTGAATTTTGAGTTGTATTTTGAAAGATAAGTCGTTGAAAACGTGTTTGGTTATGAGTTTTGAAAATAGTTTTGGGATGATTTGTAATTTTATTTTTTTTATTTTTTTGTTGATTAATATGTAGAATGTGAAAGAATGAAAGAGGAGAGAGAAAAAGTGATTGATCAATTTATTAATAATAATAAATAAATAAAAAGAGAAGGAGAGAGGAGAGAGAAAAAAACAATTTTGAGTTGTGTTTCAAAAACATGTTAACCAAACATGTTTTTCTATTTTTTTATCCAAATCATGATTTGAAAACAAAACCAAACACTATATATTTTCTTGTATGAATTTCGTTAGGATGAAAATTTTGGCAGGAAAAAGAGAGAAATTAAAATTTTAATTAGAAGTCACTACTTCAATAAACAAATTTTCATTTTATTTATTTTTTATTTTTGGTAAGAAACTAAAAGTTTAGTTGCCATGCTACCGTAGATTGTACCAAAAATATAAATAAAAAAAAGGGGCACTTACACACATGTTCTAATTTATGAAATTATACTCCATTAAGTCCTAATTAAGATTTTTTAGACCTTCAAGTCCCATTAAATTCTTAATAGTCAATTTTGCTCTGCAAATAATGATTGTCCATCATTTATGATTATCTATAAAAAAAACATGGTAATTTGACATTTATTTTGATTTTCAAAACTTTAAAACATCAATTTTAAAATTGAAAAAAATAAATAAAAAAAAAATTGTGTGCAAAAACTTTTTTTTTTTTTTTTTGTGCAAAATTGAAAATTTGGTGTCTATAAAGGAGCACGATGATGGAACATTGATATGAAATTGAAAAAAAAAAAAAAAACCTTTAAAAATGAAAAAAATTGATAATGTTTTCAGTTTTAAAACTAAAAAAAAAAATACTGACAAAATATTTGGTTTTTTTTGAAGGAAAAGTCTACAATGTGCACCTTATAAAAAGGCATATAATATGCACTTATTGTGTGGTCCATATCGTGCCACATCATAAAAAGTGACCTGCTAAACTGGTCATGTAACAGGTTACAGAAAGAATCATAACTTTTTTTCAAATATCATAACAATACTACAATGAATCATAACAATGTCATAATATTGACCTAAGTGTCATAACAAAGACACTATAAATCATAACAATATAATAACAACTCATAACAAATATAGTTATTTGTAATTAATTATCATAACATTTGAATCGTAACATTTTTTATTATGATTCACCATGGCAAATCATAACTTTTGGCGGTACAAATCATAACTTTTAGTGATGAATCATAACCATAACATATTGAGTATAACATTTTTTCCCATAATCATAACGACATTAACAAACTATCATAACTTTTATCAATGAATCATAACATAGCATGTTGATTGTAATTTTGTCTCGAAAATCATAACAACATTAACAAAACATCGTAACTTTTAGAATTTCAAACACAATTGATTGTGTAATCAAGCGTATTGGAGTGAATGGAAAATCATAATTGATTGCGAAATCGATTGGATTGAAAGACCACAATTGATTATACAATCGATTAGTGGCCAGAGTTTTGAACTTTCACAATTGATTGTACAATCCATTAGAATATAAGGGAGATTCAAATCTGACAATTGATTGTAGGGATCCTTGATATAATAAACCTAATTGATTCAATAATCAATTAGTTTTCATAAGTCATACTAAACCAATTAATTCCCAACTTATTCACAGTTCCCAATGAATTAGTAAAAGTCTAATCATTAATATCAATTTAGTCAATATTCAAATAGTAATTGATCGGTTGCCATTTATATGTAATTTTGTTGTTGTGTTTTTATTACCTCAAACATTATCACTAACAAAAACGCCTGACACTCCAACTACGTTTGTCGTTTTACAATTCTCTCTCTCTCCACGCTAAGAATTTTCACTTTTGGTGACTAAATTTAGTCGCCAAAAGTCATATTTTAGTCGCCTATAGTCTTTAGTGACTAAATTTTTTGGTCGAAAAATTAGTAGCCAAAGAGTAGTCAGGAAATATAATTGCCGACTAAACCTAATTTAGTTGCCAAATGTATTCATTTGGCGACTAAATATTTAGTCACCAATAAGTTTGAAAATTAATTAAATAATACATTTTTGCCGACTAATTTTTTTGTCGCCAAAAGCCAATTATTTAGTGGCCAAAAACTTTTTTAGCTACTAAATTTTTTAGTCGCCAAAAGCAAATACTAGTGTTTTGGCTACTAAAATTTTAGTCGCCTAAAGTCAATCTTTTTTGGCTACTAAAATTTTAGTCGCCAAATACTGTTTTTTTTGGCTACTAAAAATTTAATCGCCTAAACTTCAACATTTTTTGCTACTAAAAATTTAGTTTTTTAGTCGCCTAAACTACGACATTTTTTGCTACTAAATTTTTAGTCGCCAAAAGTAATATTTATTCTTCAACTTTTATTTTTAGCTACAAAATATTTTAGTTGCCAAATTTTTGATTTTCTTTTAGCTACAAAACTTTTAGTAACCAAATGTTTGATTTTCTTTTGGCTACAAAACTTTTAGTAGCCAAATGTATGTTTTTTTTTTTTTTTTTTCCTTTTTTATTGGCTACAAAACGTTTAGTCGGCAAAAACATGATATTATGTTTTATTGTTAATATTATAATGTGTCCATAACCTGTTTGTATTCCATTCAACCTGTAATACGTATATAAATAAAATGATACATAAATTATCAATCATTCCACAATATGCATCCGTATACAAAAAATAAATTACTTTAACTATCCAAGTACATACAAACGAACTATTGTCCAAACTAAAATAATAATTCCGTACAACATACACAATTATACAAAAAGTAAAGCCTTCCATATACAAAAATTACATTTACAATACCATGCGAAATGACCATTTGGCATGGTACAAATTACCATCGTAATCTGTACCACGACAAAAGGTGATGTATGTACCAAGCCAAAAATACATCTATGTACCACGACAAAAAATCAATTTAGTGGACAACGTCAAAAGGTGATCTATCTACCATGCCAATAATTATCTGTTCGCTGCCAATAGTTTTCTGTATCAGGAATAGTAAACTGCACAAAAGCTAGAGACGACAAAAGAATTATATTACTTCTATACAAAAGTACAATTTCTTCTCCATACACAAAAATATCTTTGCAAGTCCACGCAACCAAGTCATCTACAAAAAACAAAAAAAAAATTAGAATTGGACCCAAAAAATGCCCAACTTCATGAATGAATTTGGGAACAAGTGACAAATAAAAATAAGTGAGAAGCAACCTTCCATGATGAATCAATTATCAGTCATTGTACAGTCTTTCTAAAGTCTTTTATTATACGGAACATTGTTAAATGCAGAACAATCATTACTAAATCTTTCATTAGTAACATACAGCTAATGTAACAATCTTCTATTTGTATGCAACATGTATCCAAATTCTGTGGCTAAACCAATATCAAAGCCCAATGTGAATAGAAAGTATTCTTTTTTACCAACTTCCTCATTATTTGTTTGCAAAAGGCACTTGAATCATTAGATTGGATATAAAACCATCGGTGCTTATTAATGCATGTCAGTGCCATTTCAGAGAGGATATTAGAACATGTGATAAAAATAATAACACACGTGTGTACGTTCACAAAATTAGCAAGTTTAAAACATTTTGTCAGTTGTCACAAGTCCTATTTGTAATGGGAAAGCTGCCCGCAAGAGTCAGACAGAAGTTCGGGGGATGTTTTGAAGTTTCACCCCCGAAACGCCCTTTTCCGACTAAGTTTTGGGCGTATTCATCTGTAAATCCCAACCTACGGGTCCGAATAACATCCCGTCAGTTGTCACAAGTCCTATTTGGCATGGGGAAGCTGCCCGTGTTGGCCAAACGGAGGTTCAGGGGCTGTTTTGAATTTTCGCCCTCGAAACGCCCTTTTTCAACTAAGTTTTGGGCGTATTCGTCTCTAAATCCCAACCTATAGGTCCGAATAATATTTCGTTAGTTGTCACAAGTCATATTTGGCATGGCGAAACTGTTCGTTTCGGTCACACGGAGGTTCGGGGGCTATTTTGAATTTTCGCCCCCGAAACGCCCTTTTTCGACTAAGTTTTGGGCGTATTCAGCTCTAAATCCCAACCTATAGGTCTGAATAACATTCCGTTAGTTGTCACAAGTCCTATTTGGCATGGGAAAGCTGCCCGTGTCGGCCAAACAAAGGTTCGGGGGCAGTTTTGAATTTTCGCCTCCGAAACGCCCTTTTTCAACTAAGTTTTGGGTGTATTCGTCTCTAAATCCCAGCTTATAGGTCCGAATAACATTCCGTCAGTTGTCACAAGTCATATTTGGCATGGTGAAACTGTTCGTTTCGGCCACACGGAGGTTCGGGGGCTATTTTGAATTTTCGCCCCCGAAACGCCATTTTTCGACTAAGTTTTGGGCGTATTCGGCTCTAAATCCCAACCTATAGGTCCGAATAACATTCCGTCAGTTGTCACAAGTCCTATTTGGCATGGGGAAGCTGCCCGTGTTGGCCACACAGAGGTTCGAGGGCTGTTTTGAATTTTTGCCCCCGAAACGCCCTTTTTCGACTAAGTTTTGGGCATATTCGTCTCTAAATTCCAACCTATAGGTTCGAATAACATTCAGTCAGTTGTCACAAGTCATATTTGGCATGGGGAAACTGTTCGTTTCGGCCACACGGAGGTTCGAGGGCTGTTTTGAATTTTCACCCCCAAAACGCCCTTTTTCGACTAAGTTTTGGGCATATTCGGCTCTAAATCCCAACCTATAGGTCCGAATAACATTCCGTTAGTTGTCACAAGTCCTATTTGGCATGGGGAAGCTGCCCGTGTCGGCCAAATGGAGGTTCGGGGGCTGTTCTGAATTTTCGCCCCCGTAATGCCCTTTTTCGACTAAGTTTTGGGCGTATTCGTCTCTAAATTTCAACCTACAAGTCTGGATAACATTCAGTCAGTTGTCACAAGTCATATTTGGCATGGGGAAACTGTTCGTTTTGGCCACACGGACGTTCGGGGGCTGTTTTGAAGTTTCGCCCCCGAAACGCCCTTTTCCGACTAAGTTTTGGGCGTATTCGTCTCTAAATCCCAACCTACGGGTCCGAATAACATTCCGTCAGTTGTCAAAGGTCCTATTTGGCATGGGGAAGCTACCTATGTCGGCCATACGGAGGTTCGGAGGCTGTTTTGAATTTTCGCCCTCGAAACGCCCTTTTTCGACTAAGTTTTCAGCGTATTCGTCTCTACATCCCAACCTACGGGTCCGAATAACATTCCGTCAGTTGTCACAAGTCCTATTTGGCATGGGAAAGCTGCCCGTGTCAGCCAAATGGAGGTTCGGGGGTTGTTTTGAATTTTCGCCCCCGAAACGCCCTTTTTCGATTAAGTTTTGGGCGTATTCGTCTCTAAATCCCAACCTATAGGTCCGACATTCCGTCAGTTGTCACAAGTCCTATTTGGAAAATTTAAGACGAGAAAATCTATCCTATCCAGTCTAGGTTTGAGCTTATTTCGGCTTGAGTTACCCATCCAGTCTAAGTTTGAGCTTATCTCAGCTTGAGTTATCCAAACTCAATACAACAAAACTTTTCGATTATCTTAAAACCAATTTATTGCAATTTGTTTGTAAATATAAAAGTCTTGAGAAATTATAAACATGAAACATAATCCAGGTTGCTTGGTTAGAGAGATCCCATGCGATGTTCAAATTTAATTTGGATTGACAAATTTTTACTCTAAATTTGGAATTATACTAACCAAAGGCGTTAAATTTTGCAAGCTAAGGTTGTTCAAGTTAGACTCGCCGAAGTTTCACCCATAGCTCATGCAGCCATGCATATACTGGATCCTTTGTACCTAAAAAGCCTTTTGTCCCTCTAACTCATGCACACATGGCCACATGATTTAGGTCTCATGCACTAACAACCACATGATCTTGGTGGTCCTCAGTTCTCTAGGAGTACAACTGAATTATTAATTGCTGTGTCCAACAACCTCATCCCTTAAGGCAATGTTAGGCTATGTTTGGATGAAGTATTTGTGGTGGGAAGGAAATAAGAAGGGGAAAATGAATGAAATAGAATCATATTTCTCTTTCTGTTTTCTGTTCTTTTCTTTTCTCAAATCGTAAATCCAAACACAGTATAGAAGTGCTGATCCACCCTACAAAATGTAGGACAAACTTTTTACGCAGAAAAACAATTCCTACAAATAACAATATGTTTCATGTTTGGTTTGCATCTGTATGCAGAAAAAAAAGGTTAGGTTAACATTTACTAAAGAGGAGCATCTACCATTCCCAACCATCCAATATTGATTGGGATAAATAGATCCCCTGGTTTTGAGATTGAAGTTTACAAATGCCCACCTACAATTTATGATAAAACTAGGAAAATTGATATGTTGTAACTCTCAAATCACAGGTCTGAACCAATCTTGATTGTGCACTACAAAATATAGTGGCTAAATGTGCAAGTATTTTTAAAAGGACTAAGTTGACAAACACAGAAATTGGATTCATCTTTTTTGGGAGCCAAAGAAACCAGATTTACCTTTTAGGAAGATGACCTTTTGGATATCAATAAACTAGCAAAATCAGTTGAATTTATAGAGACATCCTTAACAATTTTCTTACAGAAGGAAACTAAATTTTTTTTCACATCCAAAATAAATTATGTGAATGAAATGAAACGCACCTAGATAAAGTTTTCAAGTTTGGTGCATAAGCCATACTCCAAGCTTCATACTGTGGTTTGATGAAATTGTTTAGCTCAAAAGAACACAATATCCTAGCAAAATGCTAATGCAGTGGCAATCCATAGGTGTGACAAAAATAGTGTGTTTCTGCTTAAAAAAAAAATCAATAACTAGTGTCCTAATGTAATGAACAAAGATACCATAGCACCAATTCAATTTTAACATTTATTTAAAAGGACATACAAAATAAAAAGAATAAAAATAAAACATAAATTAACAGGTACCAACATTGGGAATTGTAGACAGAGATTATCATAGTTGGAGGTCTGAATAAGCTGTCAATTTATTAACAAACTAATGCTGCTCAGTGAATTTGTTGGAAAAGGAGCTACAGCGGAGGATAAAGCTTCAAGAAAGTTGATCTGGTCTTTTCATGTGAGGAAAATGTCTATTGACACCACTAAGTTACCCTCTTTTTTTCCTAAAGAATTTTTTCCTGAAGAATTTTTCATCAACCTAATAGAGCCCAAAGAAACATTCCCACTAATGCCCTTGTAAAGGATGGTAAGGGAAATTTCTTTTCCTAAAAATTTTCCTGAGAATTTTTCACCAAAACAGCTCAAGCCTAACCCTAATGATCTTTTAAAGGATTATAAACAACAAAGAAAAATTGATGATGCAATAGCATGGTTGGTGAAGCAAAGATTTAACACCCTATAAGCCTCTATAATAGATATGTAAGCCATTATTAGAGCAGACAAAAATAAAGAAAATGACCAAATAGAATTAGAAGACAGAGAAACCTCCAGACATCCTTCAAGAAAATATTTATGAAGCTTGAGTAAAATCTGAATTTTCCCCTATAAAAGGAAGGCAGAGACTAGCTCACTAGCCAGAATCCCAACTCCTTTAGAAAGAAAGGTTGTAAATCCCATTCAGCGTCATCAAAATCAGACACCTCAACAACCCATCACGGCACAAAAATTGAATTTGAATTTGAATTTGAATTTTAATATACAATCTTCACCACCACAATTACAAGCTTTCTTATGATTATGATGTTACTAGGCAAGCGCGCTTTCTATTGCCTACCTTGCTAGCCATATCAGCAAAAGATGCATTACCTCCATGTTCACTGTTAATACATATTTTTGTATTTTCAAACAATGTCACAATCAATTTAAAAGGCTGTTGAGGCTTATGGATTAAGACTCACTTCAAAGATCAAGAAAAGCAGCTTACAACAAAACCTTGCAGCTTAAAAAAACAAAGGCTCGAGCCCAAGAAGCAAGGCTCGTATAAAAGACAAGCATCACACTTAGACTGATCTTATGCCTACAATGCATGCTTGTCTACCTAGCCTAATGCAAGCAACCTATACCGATCATCACAAACTTACTTTTTAACTATCCGTCTTGCTAGTTTATTTCAACACATTAAGATACACACGTTCTACAAATCACACCACTAGTTATAGATATCCCTATTTTTACTTTTGCACGGTCAATTACAAGTTCAAATCATAACAACTTGGTAGCTAAATTAAATTTCTATGAACTTTGCACAAATAATTTGCTCCTCAAACATAGAATCCCAAAAATAGTTGTAAGACATTGGTGTCCTCATACACTGTTAAAAATCTCATCATTTCATAACTTTTATTATATTGTTAATACCTTGTAGATTTTCTAATTTAGGCCTTAGTCCTATCAAATTTTGGCATTTCATTGTCTCCAAGTTAACTCATAGACCATTTTATAGCATCTCCAACCTTTCACCAATTTTTTCAACTAATTTGATTTCAAATTTGAGTAAAAAAAACTTGATTTTATATGAACTACTCAAATCCTTTCATTAAAATCTTTTTAAAAACCTTCATCTTATCCAAAATTCCCCGTTTCATCAAATTTGATCAAGAAAACCCACCTCCAATGCTTCTTTTTTTTTTTCCCATCAAATTTAGATTTACTTTATTGGTTCTCAATTTGCTAAAAAAAATAACTCTCCATTCATGAGATTTAATGAAATAATTAGAGATAATTTTTTAACACTTTTGATGAAAAAAAACAAAAATAACTAAATGGGTATTCAACTAAGTCACAGTAACATCAAAATATCTATTCGTTTCTCACTTTCCACAATTCCCAAACAATTGCTAAAGGTAATACATCCCAAACCACTGTAATTTTCTTTCTAATAGGAAAAACAAGCCAGCACAAGAGTAATTGTTACAAACATAATAGATTTCAATAAACAAATAAAAAATTACAGTCTCATATCAGTTACATGAGTACAAAATTCAATTACCCACACATCAGATTTTACACACTCCTACATCATGCCTAGATTTCCAGAGGAATATTGAAAAGGGACAACTACCAAAGCAAACAAACATCAAAAACCTAACCCGATTCAATTCATATTTTGACATCCTTTTTATTAAGGCTAAAGCAATCGGAGCTGATAGATACTGTATAGACACATCGATTATCAATGCTAAATTTTATATTTAGCGTAAAAGAGATGAAAAAAGAGACAAAATTTATATGAATTAAAATTTTAAGGGAGCACAGTGAATTTCCTTGTGAATTATGGCAAACTTATGAGTTTCCTTCTCATAGTGCAGCATTATTATTTTCTTCATCTCCTAATTCTCTTTTGTCATGTTTTTTCATAGCCGATTCAAGAACCTCAGTAAAACTATTGGAGGAGTTATGTTGTCTAAGGATGAAGCATGATGAGATCCTTCAAAGAATTAACAACATGCGGTACTGGTCAAGATCTATGTGAATGTGCATAAAAAAATAAATATAATACTACAGGTTATCTAAATCTCTTACTTTGCGCGGTTTGGCCAGTCTCAATATTGTTTGCACAGTTTGCACAATTGAAACAGATATATGGAGAGAGAGAGAGAGAGAGAGAGAGAGAGAGAGAGAGAGAGGTGTTTAGAGTGAGGAATTTATATGTACAATGGCTGTTTATGAATCCTTTGCTTAAAAGTTTCTAAACCTCTTTCTCAACTTACAAGTGTCTTTCATGAGCTAAATGGTTTACTTGTCATCATAATCAGCCATTACTGTACAAACTCCCTGATTTAGTACTCCATATCTTATCTACTATCAGACAGTGATCAACTAAAGCTTATAGATCTAGAGATGCAGTTTCTCTAGCATTTGTGATGAAGTTGTCTCACGGACTAATTCATGTTAGTAAACTTGGATTATCAATAATCAAGTTCAAACAGTTATATTTGGATAACATAAAAGAGTAGTTTGTATATTCCTCTGTTTTTCAACTCTCTTGTTGAGATTTCTGGTCTGTTCTTATGTTGTCAGATTTAATTGATTTACATTTCAATGCAGGATTAAATTGTTCAACCGCAAAAGAGGTTGGCAGTTTCACTTTCATAGTGTTCCACACATAATTAGTGCATTCATTGTTCTAGATAACAAATGGTGTCTGCATATTCTTTATGTTCTTTCACAAATAAGATTTGTTGCCTTTAATAATTTTGGATGCTACCAGCATGCTTGGTTTGGTTTTGTGAAGTCTTGTGTTAAGAAGTGTAAAAAAGCTAATTCTTTGATTCACTGTACTATTACTATGTCTGTAGAGCTATAATTGTCGTTTGGAGCATTCCCTCTACACGGCTCCACTGCTAGCAATTTTTTATAATGCAGTAGATTAGGAGAGAACCATGGGTGTAATGTGCTTGCCACAGATAAGCTGATGTATATACTTCTGAAACCCATCCACATGTTGAGCAAATTAGTAATTCTTTCATGTTAAGTTTTATGGGTATTTCTCTCTATTTGACATTTGATGAGGTTTTGTGAAATTATTTAACAGCTATTGGAATGTCTAATACAATTCCATTACCTGGAATTTTGCAATCCTTTTTCCAAATAAAAATCTCTCAAAGCTGTGTGTGATAGTTTCCATAAAAGTATTACCAGCACTTCAGTTTTAGAATTTACTTTATCTGATTTCCTCATATAACTGACTGAATTGTTTTGGCACAGGGAAGGGTTCACTACATCATGCCTAGATTTCCAGAGGAATATTGAAAAGGGACAACTACCAAAGCAAACAAACATCAAAAACCTAAACCGATTCAATTCATATTTTCCTAATTTTATAAACCAACCTAGTGAGTTCACAATGGTGAAAGGGGCAGTTTCGAAGAAGGGAATTTCAGTCTAAGGTTTCATAGAATGGAGATGGAGAAAGGGAGAGAAACAAGTTGCAGCGAGAGAGAGAGAGAGAGAGACATACCTTGAGGCGAAGTCGAGGGCACGTTATGTTCGCGGGATAGTCTTCGAGGGCGAAGCAGAGCTTCGAAGTCGTGTCTGAAAAAAGCTCCGGAGTCGTGTTTGAAGAAGGCGAAGAGGAGCTTCGGAGTCGTCTCTGAAGAGAGCTCCGGAGTCGTGTCTGAAGAGGGCGAATAGGAGCTTCGGATTGGTCTGAAGAATGGTTTTGGGAAAACAAAGTGAAGAGGGTTTCTAAACATACAACAATCGGTGAACAAAATTGTAACCGGTTGAGAGGGTATTCAATACTTTCAATCAAACTATTTGATGGTTGAGATTATTTTATAAATATCTAATGGCTTAGAATAAATGTGTACATGATGTGCACTCTTAATAAAGTGCACATCTTAACAGCTCCCTTTTTTGAATAGTTGAATCAAATCAATAAGTCGAAGGACAAAAATGTTTAATCTCATACTCTGTTTTTTTTTTTTCATCGGTTAGTGAAACAATTATCTGGAACATTACTATGCAAAAATGATAATATTCTTATTTTTAAAAATTAAAAAAAACTTGCAGTATTCTCAGTTTTCCTAAACAGGACTTATTAGTATAAAAGATTTTAGATAGGACCTGAGCTACCATAACATTTATAAATAGGACTTTTAGGTAATTAACTAGAAAACAAAATAGCATAACTTTTTTTTAAAACTTTTGTAACTTTCATGCTAAACAAACTCAGAATTTTATTTTTATTTTTATTTTTATTTTTTTTACCATTTCCGTCACTTTTAGGAGGGTAGTGGGTTGGTATGACAAAATGTTAAAATAGGACATAATGCTTATATAAATGTATTGTCAATTGTAACATGATTTATTTGCGAAAATAAAAATAAAAATTTTATTTCATGAGATGTTTAATTGTTATACATATATGTGTGTGTAGATCTATTCCTATTGTATCACATTTGAGAGCATATGAAGTACCATATCCTTATTTCTAACGATCCACATTCTAAATGACACAAACTTATATATATTCTATGTCCAATTTGTGTGGCCCCCTAGTATTTTTATTGCGGTGCAACAGTTTTTCTGCAAATCTTCAGTCCAAGTTCCCAATAGATGCAGAATTGAATCTATCAAACTGTTGAGAATTGATATCAATTGATCAAGAAAATTGGTTGTTATAGCCAATAATAATAAGACGTATTTTCTTGGGGGGTTATACTGAGCCATCCTACTAGCATTGCAGTTGGTAAGAACCTGTCAGTCACTACTCAACGTTAATCTGCCTTGTACAAACTTGACTTTGATTATTCAACTTACAAGCGTTCAAGTATGTAAAGAGAGAGAGAGAAGGAGAATGAGAGGAAACTAATACGAGTGATTAGGGGATAAAATATTTTTCTAATTATTTTCAAAACATTTATCAAATTGCTAGCTTAGAAAGTAAATTATTGTTACTAGTACTCATCAAAATAAATGAGCAGAAAATGGTCACAAGGACTATGATGTAGAACATTCATAGTGCATGAGCCAGTCATCCCATTAGGAAGAAAAAAGGTGTAGTTATGGGGCATTAGAATAACTTGATATACCTTATTGGACATATTTCTTAATACGTTAAACTTCTAAGAAAAATTTCACTTAATATGGTATCAGACCTCAGGTTGGTCTTGGATTCAAAGTCTCTTCGTTTGCATTTTAATCCCTGTTTGCATTATTTGTTTCTTTCTTCTCTCTATGTACAGATGTTTGGTAACTTAATTAACATTATCATCCCTCGTATATGTGTGTTTAATTGCTACCCACAATTAGGCAGTATTTGGTTTACTAAAATGGATTGGAATAGAATGATCATTCTACCAAAATATTCATTCCTATATTTGATTGAGTGAAAAAATAATGAAAAATATATTACAAATCGATTCATAATTCACTATTGTGAGAAAATGATCGTGTTTTAGAAAAGCCTTAGAAATGACCGTTCCATTCCATTTCATCTCATTCCAGCAAGGGCGACGCCACTACATGGGTGATGGGGTCCCATCCACCCATCACCTTACAAAAAGCCTTGAATTTTTTTTTTTTTATATGGTAAAAAGTTTATTTGATAACTAACAGATCCCATTAAATAAAAATAAGGGGCCATGTCATCAGAATTATATGATTCAAACCAAAACATCCATTGAAAATCAAAATTCATTAAGAATCTAATCATTCTCTATTACATTTTTATTTTCAACACTCAAATCAAATGAAAGATTGATAGTTAAATGATTTCTTCATCATGTATAAAAAATTATGTGTTTAACACTATTAATAATGAGGTTATCATGTAATAATTAAAAAAGATGACACCTCATTGCTATTGTAAAAGATATATATATATATATATATATATTTGTTAAGATGATAGTATTTTATTAGAAGTTTATTTTATTTGAAGGTCGAGAAATTCAAATGCTAACTAGTTTAAAAAGTTTTTTTTAGTAAAATTTATTAAATTTTTTGAGTGACCTCATCTATAGGGATCTGTTAGACTATTATGATGTGGTATTATGAGTTTATCATTCAAAAGCATTTCAAAACCAAACACACACATATTCTCTCTCTCGCAAAACTAAAACACAGCAACTTCAAAGTAATACTATATGGATCTGTTAGACTGTTATGATATATGGATGTGGTATGGTGATGAGACTTCATCACTTATATACGAACATAAATACATGATATATATACATATATATGTATGGATATATCAATGTGTCATTGGTGTTATATAGTAATGATTAATTGTTGATTTGATAGGTATGGATTCTGAAGGAGATGATTCGAATTCACCAACATTTCATGGTAAGTAATAGTACGATTTGTTCATTTTCCTTGAATTATAAGTTTTTCGCTTGTTTCACATCCATTCACTGTGATGATTAATTGTTATGATGTGATATGAGTTCATCACATATACACAAACATAAATACATGATATATATATGTACGGATATATGGATGTGTCATTGGTGTTATATAGTGATGATTAATTGTTGATTTCATAGCTATGGATTCTGAAGGAGCAGATTCAAATTCACCAACATTTCATGGTAAGTAAAACTACGATTTGTTCATTTTCCTTGAATTTTAAGATTTTCACTTGTTTCACATCCGTTCACTCTTTCATGATTTAACAATCAGGATACGTCAATGGAATTGACCTATGTTCACCGAAATCAAGTGAGTAAAAAAGGACGATGTAATGGAAAAGACAGTGCTAAACAGTATTTCTCTAAGAACAATCAATTTCTGTATATAGTTAACTTCTCAAGTTACAGATTATAAAAATAAAAACTATTCAAACTATGCCTTAGATATAGATCCGATTTATTTATTTATTTATTACATGGTATCGTTTGGGAATAATAAAAACACGTGTAAAAAAATAAAAAGAGTAATGTAATGAGTGTTTTATTTTGTTGACTATTTTAGTATATGATGAGTTATTTTAGCCCATCACAAACAAGAAATTGGAATTTAAATTTCAAACTATCAGACATGTTTGATTTTGTATTTCATTTGTTACCAAAACATATCACCACTTGTATGTTACTTTATTGTTACAATTTAAGAGCTAATTGTATTTGAAAAGTTTGATTTAGTTTCCTTCATTCACGGCCAGACCAAATATAATTTAGAAGCTTGATTTATGATTGCCATTTGTTTTGATTCTAGTGGTTGCATCTGCACAGATATGTTGTTTTTCTCTTCGCACTACCTCATATACGGAAAGAAAATTGCACAACTTCCTTTTCCCTGTTTGCAGCAATAGATTTGAATATGACAATACTGTAGTGGCACCATATATTTTCTTCTTTCTCTTTGAAATTAAATTTGTTCCTCTGTGCTTGTGTTTGTGTTTTGTTATAATTTATTTCGCTACCATTTTAGAGGTATCATTATGATTTGTGTTCTTCTTTGACTGTTAGTAACATGCTCTGACTAGTGAATAATAGATTGCGACTATCGATTTTGTGTAACAAAATAAAAAAACTAGTGGATCAATATAACCAAAACTTCATCCCAAAAATACATGAAGAAAAATGCAGGTAATGCACATATGGAAGAAAATTTTCCATAAATGCCCCCTTCTACCTACCACGTTTAATCCAGGATTTGAAGGAAGAAAAATTAGCAAACATTCACCCTTATGAATCCAGACGAAATTTTAATAATAATTCATAACTAACAAAAACAGAGACGATGGATAACAGCATTCTGTGCTCACAAATTTAAATCATAACTCAATCATGATGTTGGAATAAAAGCTACTGTAAAAAAAGTTACCTGGAATAACTTATATAGTCTGGCCACTTTTAGCACATCCGAAGAAGTTGGAGAATCGGCAAAGATTGATTGCAGGTTTTCCTCAGTGATTTTCTCAATATTTTCAGCTCTATAAGGTTCTTCACTCAAAAGTTCCTGTGGCAATGACACAAGCTACTATAACCCGATACATACAGGTGGATAAAAATGTTTATGTTTACTTGGAAAGAACAATAAGTTACACAAATCCATAATCTAATGAGCCTCTAATGGTGTTATACAGGTACACAGAAAATCCATGATCACAACCACCTCTGATGGTGTTGCACAAAGTAGAGGCATCATTAAAAACAAAAACAAATTATTAAAACAGCCTTACTGCAGAAAATAAATAAATACATACCTTCACAGCAACGACAGGATCAGAAGATCCACAACTGCTAGCAAATGATACACACAACCCTTCAACATCAGAAAGAGTTTTCACTTTGGATATTGCCTCTTGAGGTTTCATTCCAAGCTTTATACCGAGAACAATCTGCAGAACCACCCAATATCAAGAGTACAATACATGTTTAACAGTAAAAAGTTAAAAGCATTTGGAAGTCTATAAACTATTGCATTGGAGGACAATTTAGCTAATAGACCTCGTAGATTTTAAAATTAGGAGCCTTCACATTGGCTATTGAATCCATAGACTAATGCTTTCGGTCATTTTGATAGAAGATGCAATATAAAGTTTTTTTTTATTTTTTGATAAATAACAAACAACCAAATTGCAATATAAAGTAAAATATACACCAACTATCAAAAAATAAAATGAAACAAAATAAAACTTACAGCAGCTAAACGGCATTCAACAACCTGATTATTGTAATTTATAGCAGCAGTGACCGCTTTCTGGGATTCGGCCAATGAATGCGCTGTTACAAAAGAACTACCAGCAGGAAGCTGCACATCAGTTGCGCGAATGGGATTGAAATCAATCAACTCCACAAACCCAGATTGAGCCATGACAGAGATAGCCTGCAAGGTGAATCAAATTATGGGCTGATAGGTTGTGGCCAATCTGACCCAAACAAAAATAATATGAGCACGTTTGATAGTCATTAAAATAACTAAAATCCTACTCACGAATCGGTTTCGTGCGGTTCAGATGACGGGTTGGACCCACCCGATGCGGTGCAGGTTGGGAAAAAATGGAACCGCGTCCACCTGCATTGCGGGTTGCGGATTGAACAGGTGGATCATGCGGTTGCGCGGGCGGTTGCGAGCAGTTTGTGAATTATTTTTTTTTTATTTTTGAGAGATTTTTTCTTTTGAGAGATTTTTTTCGGCAGTTTTTTTTTAAACACATTATTATTACTATTATTATTATTATTATTATTCAGATTATTATTAAGTTGATTATTATTATTATTCAGATTATTATTAAACAGATTATTTTTTTCCGAAGTTTTTTTTTCTTAAAACAGATTATTATTATTATTATTCAACAATAAAAACATTTTCTTTTATTAAATAATCAAAGCAAAATGTTACAAACCCTTTTGCAAACCCACAACACAACAACACACCCAAAAGAATATTTTTGTATTAAAGAAAATAAGCAAAAAAGTTACAAACCCACAACAAAACAAGTCTGCAAACCATAAATAAATGGAGGAGAGGAAAGATATAGGCGAGGTACGTTCAGTTTTTTTTTATACTGTAGATCTTCCAAATCTGCCATCTCTAGATCTGGTTTAGGGCGACGGCGACACTGCGACAGGGAGAAGAGGAGGGGATGGAGAGACGACAGCGGCGGTAGAGGAGAGGAGAGGAGAGCGATGGCGACGGACGGCGACACTGCGATAGGGAGAAGTGGAGGGGATGGAGAGACGACGGCAGCGGTAGTGGAGATGAGAGCGATGGCGACGGGAAGGAGATGAATAGAGAGGTAGGCGAGAGAGAGAGAGAGAGAGTGAGATACAGCAGATGAGAGAAAAAAAGAGACAGCTTGGTAGAGAGAGAAAGGAGTATAAAAAAATGAATTTGAGAGAGGCATACCCAGATTTTTTTTTCGTTTAAGCATATGCTGCGGATCATTCGGGCGGGTTGTAGATTTGCGCGAGTAGGGTTGGGTCTGACCCAAACCCGATTTTGTATGGAAAAATAGACCTGCACTCGCCCTATTTATGCATGCGCGTTGGGTCAGATTTGTGCGGATAGAATCAGTTTGGACGAATTGTGCGGATCGAATAAACCGTTATCCATCCCTAACAAGGACTGGACTAACATAAAAAACCCTTGACCATTTCACAAATTTCTCTATACTAATATTCAAATTTCTCTAGATCAACATTCAAATCCCTCTATCTATCAAGAGAAAATTGAACACCACGGAAAAAATTAAACATGGCAGAGAAAATTAACCAAACCAGAGAAAGGTTTAACAGCAAGGTGGTTTTGTTTTCACTGCCCTAAGATTATAAGAAAGGGTTCCTAATAACAAAAAGTTAAATAAGGAAGAATTTCTAGTAGCTTATGATCATAATAAACAAATTGAAAAACTAGCAAAACTACCTTGTTATTTCTTACATCTTCAATGATATCTTCAAGCAGATTAATTCTACAAACTTGCCCAGATAACCACAATGTTCAAGGTAGGCTCATCCTCAAAATCAACCATTTCACCAAAAGAGATGTCTTTTGTGGAAGCATCATTGAAACTACCACTTGATCTTGGTTTCTTGTGATCACTATTTATAACTGCTAATTGAAAGCTACCTTCTGGAGCATCTGGTGCACATTCTTGGATGGGTGATGGAGCCACGTGAACCACAAAATTCTCTACCTCTGATTGATTAACATCTAACCATGATTGTTCTTAATGGCTTTCTTCATGGACGAGGAGGAGGCGATAGGATCGGGGGATCAATGCTCTAAAGAAGCTTCGAGAGTGGTCGGAGATTGTCGTCGAGCCACGGTGGAAGACCTTCATACGACTGTTCAATCGAAGCAAGAGTGGCCGAGGAGTTCTTGACATAGGGCTTCTTGGATTGATCGAGCTGGATCGACGAAAGAGAGCAAAGAGCAACAAGGAGAGAGAAGAGGTGAGGCGTGAGTCTGAGAGAGAAAGAAGAGAGAGGGGGTGAAGGTTTGAAGCCGTGAGGCATATCAAATTTCTCTATAATACATGAATGTGGGGTTGAGGGACCTTAGACATCATAAAATAATATTGTGAATCTCTTCCATTACTAAAGATGGGAGATGAACCTTAGACTAATTTTCCTTATTTTTTTTATCTTTGATTTTTCTCTATTTTTTTAAATCAAAAAGTTGACTTAAAAGAACTTGTTAAACTAAATTTGTCACCTTACTATTGATGATGTCATGACCTGAAATGGATAAAAGTAGTGGTGAATCTCACCCGATGTTGGTGTAATGTAAACCAAAAACCCTCCAAATAAATTAGAGAAGAAAACTTGAAAAGAAAGCTAGGAATTAGGATTCGGGTATTGATTTCCCTAATGAATTGAACATGTCAACCTTATATAGTTTGGTCTTCACATGTTGATAAGTGGTCTTTAGTGGTTCAAGATTCCTTTCAGCCGTTTTGCCTACACGTGTCCTCATTTACAATGTTATAACTCTCATACAGATTTAATTGTGAGAATAACTTAACCATGTTCGAAACTACATGTGCCTACACGTGTCCTCATTTACATTTTTGCAATTATCAACAAACTATGATTGACTAAGCTAGCATTTTTTTATTATTATATATATTTATAAAATTTTGAAAGTTGTAAACAAAAATTTCAATTACTTTCGATTACTTCCTTATTTTCAAAACAAAATTTAAAACATATATTTGTATTAAACATTTTTTTTATTTATCAAAAATAAATATAAACATGATTAATTTTTAACTCTAATAAAAGATTCTGTGAAATAAAATCAAATTGTTAGGCCTTAATTGCAAAGAACAAGTTCAAACAGTTTAATTAACTTGTCTTTGTCCAGCCTCGTTGCGTTGGACTTTTCTATTTAGTTTGCTTCCACGAAAGAAACGTATGGGATTTTGGACACTAATTAATATTTTTAGAGAAATATTATATATGATTGATTATATATATATATATCAACTTTTACATGAATATTAAAATATATATCTCTTATGTAAATTTAATTATTAAAATATATATTTTTTTGGATTCCTAATTATTAAAATATTTAATAAAGATAAAATAATATCTTATTATATAATTTGATAAAAAAATTAAATAATATATAACAATCCTAGTATTTTTAATCATGGCTTAGTTGCAAAGTATTTGAGCCCATAACCCTAAAACTGTAATTGTCAATCCTAGACATTTCTTGAAGAATTAATTAATAAGATTAAGTGATCTGATTTGCCACGGCACAACTGATCGGTTGGAAGCCATATCATCTTCCCACCAACTTCAACTAGGAGCTTAAAATATGTGCTGGGCAAATCACAACGTGGCACCGCACCATTCTGTCACATATATTATAATAAAATTAATGTGTATTTATACAAAAACGATAACCATATGGAATGGAATGTTTATATGAAATTTTTGACAAAAATAATGTTGTAGTGACATTTTTAAAAATATCACAAAAATTATATCATTTGTTATATATATATATATATATTTATCTAGAATTCTAATTATATTATGAGGATCATGTTAACAACCACCAGCTGACTTGTGGTTGAGACCAAAATTTTCACAACTAATTCATACACCATGGATTTGCTAGACAACCAATAAGATGGTGCACATCCGCCAAATTAGCAAAATTCTGTCCTACATTTACATACACAGTCCCCCATCAATTTTAGATTTTTCGATGAATAAAACAGATTTTGCAATTGAAAATTTTTGAGTAGTTACAAATTTTATAGACAATTTTGGAGGAAAAAAATGTGATAGACCTAAAAAAATATTTATGAGTTCTGTGTTATGGATCCTGTTGGGCAGTGGTACCAAGGAATCATGTGAAGGTTTGAGAAGTGGGAAAGATCTTATAAAGGAAAAAGATTGGTCAGCGGTGGTCGATGGTGGCTCTGAGTAGAAAAGAACAAAATGTTCTCTGTAATACATGAATGTGGGGTTGAGGGATCGCCATATACAAGCAAGGGATTTTTCTTAATTTTCTTCCCATATTTTTGGGATATTAATTTGTTACGTTAGTTTATAGGATATTTTGTCATGATGACGGACTCGATTACTCAATAAGCACAATTCCAATTTTCCAAATCATATGCTTGCAGATGCTCAATTTCGTCAGAGATGAACGGTTCGCCACCAACACCAACGGTTTTGGAAACACATAAGGCGATCACTTGGCTTTGCTTCTCACTTGGCTTTGCTGCCATACAAGAAACACATAAGGCGATCACAGAGATGGGTGACAAAGCCTACGTAACGCTCGAGCAGAGGTTTGAACATAATAGAAAGCTCACTTAGTACCCAGTGAGCTCACCCCCCTCAAATTCAGTTCCAACACTTAGTACCCACTGGAGAAGGCACAACACTACCATCCTCCCGCCCTCAATACTTCCTTAAGAACTCCGTCAAACAAGAAAAAACCAGCCTAGGTATAAATTCTGAGGATAGTTTCACCACCAGTTTTACTGAAGCTGAGAGGATTGGGGAGGATTTCCCACTTTCTATCACCTTTGGGATCAAAAACCTCAAAATGGGGCGCCTCAAGATCAAGTTCAAACAGGAATTAGTATGACTGTCTAGAAAGAACGTAAATTTTTCCCTCGTGTGACCACAATAGGTCTGGCCTTGTAACCTGACAATCTGGGAATATCGCGGACAGGGACCAACAAACCCTCCTCTAGATTGTATTTACAAGAAACATCATTTTCATCAATTACAACATTCGCACCCCTAACCATATACAATATAATTGACAAAAGTAATGATCAAGACCAATTCTCCACAATTTATACAATATAATTGACAAAACTCCATATAAACTGAAAAGTGAGAAATATT